CGCAAATATTCTGAGACACTTTCTTGCAGAGTTTATTTCTCGTCGAATATTGTCCTTAAGCTCTTCCAGTGTGCGTGGATTATTGGAATACACCTTTGACTTTACACAACCCCACAAAAAATAATCGCATGGCGTGAGGTCGGGTGACCTAGAGGGCCAGTGAATGTTTCCAAACTTCGATATAACTTTTTGAGGAAAAAGTGCTTTCGCCGTGTCCATCGATTCTCTGCAAGTATGGGCGGTGGCCCTATCCTATTGAAACTATGTGTTTCTGTTAAATCGACGTCCTTCTCTCATAATATGAGCAAGTGTCAATCATGTCTTTGTAAGGCTCGGAATTGACAGTCAATGCAACACCGTTTTCATATTCAAAGAAATACGACCCAATGATACCACTAGAGGATATGGCGCACCAAACAGTCGCCTGTGGACTTTCTAGCTGTTGTTTATGTTTCTCTTTTGGGTTCGATGGTGCCCGATATCTGCGATTTTGCTTCTTCACATAACCGTTTAACACGTTCGGCGCGAACAGCGTCAAAAGACGCCCACCGCTCCTGTGGTGGGAGGCGAACGGCGTCTTTCGACGCTCTCTGCAGTCTTCCAAAAAAAGTATTTCAGTTTCTGAGGTGGGTATCCTCATCCCAGTTCGCAGTCAATGTGTTAAGTGAAAATGGGCCTCGACACTGAAAACAACGTTATCGAGTCTGCGCTGCGTAGGAAAAATATTCAACATCTTTGCTACGTAATCACTTTCCTTTAAAGCATAGACTGACTGACTTTTTTAAGGATAAATGCCCATTTCATTCTTCATTTCGCCTTGCAGTGTTGGCCTACGGATTCCCAAAGCAGCGGAATGTTTCCGTACAGAACTCCGACGAATTCGAATCACTTAGTCGATGCACATTTTCTTCGGTTGATACGGTAGATGTAGGGCCAGGAATTAGTTGAGTAACAGCAGAGCCTGTTCCACTGAGCCTCTTAATCCAGTTTTTCAACATTCTCTTACTTGGGGCTTCTCCTGGTCGGCAAAATTTCCGAAGGGCAGCTGCATATGAATCACCGCTCTCAAGTAAGCGTCGATAGCAAAATCACGTTGCGCTCCGGTCCAACGTTCCATTGTGACTATTTAACCCTCGCGCCGAACGCGTCGATCGAGACCTCTCTCCACTTCCTCGCGTATACGGTTGCCGCGTAATTCAAATTTGAAATTTGAACTTTCCCCATTACAAAAAATTATAGAACGGCCGATTTCCGGACATATCACCGTAGCACCCCCTCGTACGAATCGCCACCCTGAATTTGGAATGCAGGGGAGTGGCGCATAAAACAGAACGTCTGCAGTGCTCCAGCAGCGGCAGAGAGCAGACAAGTGACCAGAGCCTCACTCAATATTCGACGAGGGGTCTTTCCAGACAGATAAATCTGAAGTGTCGATGGCGGAGTTTCGATGGCACGGCGACGTCTCCTGCAAAGGGATTCGCGCTCAATTGAATAGTCAAGAGGATGAGCCTGCTATTCTAAAGCTATGAGGCAATTGTGCAGGTATAATGAATTAGTTGAGGGTGAAATTCAAAGCTATGTCGATCATAAGTGTTCGCGTGATGGCAGTTACTTAGCTTGTTGGGGTATAAGTGTTAGGGTATCGGGAAGTTGTAGACTATATACAGGGTGATTTTCAACTTGAGACCAAAAATGTAACATCATACACAGGAACGAATTATAAGGGGGGTCGTCTGTGTAACAATTTTTCCTGCAGGGCTTTATTACAAGAAGTCGGTGTGTTGAAGTTTAAAAACATAATAAAATAATATTTTTTCTAATATCTTCAAGATCGTCAACCGAATTAACTAAAGTTTGGTACTTACCTCAGTATTGTCCACATTCAAGAGTCTTTACTTACAAGGAACGTGCACCAGTAGCGGAGATACAGGGGATTAGTGACATTATTTTTCCCTTCAAAAAAGCTACGCCACTGTTTTTTTTCGTAACGCGCAATTTTTCGGTTTTTACCTCCAATTTGCTACAAATAAATAGTCTTGTCGTTTTCGTAAGAATAAAAATAAAACAAATCCATGAAGAGCCAAGATACAATTACTTTCAAAATAAAATAGGAGGAATTGATACCAAATTGACGTTTCTGGAGGCATAGGGAAGATTATGTGTAATACGGCTGTTATCGATACTACTACCATTTTTTTTTTCTAAAAGTCAAGTGAAAAGTTTATTTTTTCTATTTTTGAGTGTTGTGAAATGGAGCTTAACAATGATGAGTAGGTGAGCCGATATTATGTTTGTTCATTGCTAGAAATAGCGGAACAAAAATACAGACATGTGGTCAGTCACTAAACGTCGTGCTGCTGATTGAAAATGATGCTAACATATTGTTCAGAAGTGTGGAAGCTATCGCTGGTAAAAACGGTAGGTGCTCATTTTGGATGTTGATCATTTCATCCTGAACCGTTTGACGGAAATATGATTCTTGATCAAATGTCAAGGACCATCCCTAGCGACTGAACATTTCAATAGTTGTTAAAATCTGTGTCTGATCGCATTCCTCTCTTCCGTTTCCAAACCCTAACTTTTTCCTTCCATCTTCATGTTTGTTGTTCATTGTTGTTTCATTTGTCTATTGTTTGAAACCTCCTTTATGAATCAAGTTTCCCAATGTCAAAATAAAGTGACGGCTTGAGTTCATTGTGTACAACAGGTAAGTGCGAGAGGTGTGTATCAACTCATGGTAGAAAGAGATACAAGCCGACTGTAGAGTAATACAAAATTGATAGTCTCCTCCCCATCATATCCCACACACGTTCGATGGGATTTAAATCCGGTGAACGGGGTGGCCACGGCGAAACATTAACGCCTGCTTCTTAAAAGGGACGTGTGAACGGCACTTGAACAAAGAGAAGAGGTGATCGACTACCCCAAAACCATTGCTCCAACAGTCCTGTGAACGTGCATGTCAACAGCAACTCCAATATCACGATGTTCTCCACGGCGGCGTCTTACCCTTCTACGACCATCCTGCGTACCTAGACAGAATCGCGATTCGTCGCTGAAGATGACAGTATTTGGCTTTGCACTAAACCATTGATTCCCAAAGTGGTCTATATCGACCCCTAGGGGTCTATGACAACCTGCAAGGGGTCTACGTCAGCCAAAAGAAATTTAGGGGTCCATGAAATGAATATGGGGGTCCACGATAGTGGATCTCAACACATACACTGATAGTACCTATTTACTTACATCATACTATCTTATAATATCAAAACATATACATTATTTATAAAAGTACCTTTGAAGTAAAAAATTTATTATATATGTTTATAAAATTGTGTAAGTTGTAGGATGTTGGTATTCGCTTTGTGGTTGCAATACATTTTGAACTTGTAAAAACCTGAGAGTCGCAGTCTCAGAGCTTCGCTACCTTGCAATGACTTGTTCAATTCTTCACTCTATAAATACGAATGTGGGACAAATACGTTTATTCGTTTCGTGAATCTTGAAAAGGAAAGTGCTAAGAAAATATTATAAAATATGTAAACAGTATATCACACAAATTATAGTGAGTCAGTGTTATTTTGTTTGAGAGTGCTGGAGAAAAGTAAGTACATTATTTTTTATTAAATTTTAGTTTTGTACTCGTAGTTAGCAAAGATAGATAAATTACGCCAATCATGACCTTAATTATTAGTGGTTAAATATTCAATAATGCAAAATTACACGAGTACTCATCAATAGTTTCTTTTTGAAAGTTTTAGCAATCGGTAATATAATTACAGTGCAATCTCCGTAATTCGAGCTAATTGTTGCAAGATGTTCGAATTATGGAATGTTTTCGGAAAAATCAAAAAATATTTTCAAATATACAGCTGTTTATTTAAATAATTTAATTTTGCCCACAGATGACTGATTTCATGTCCGAATCTAAAAAGAAATGTAGACAGTACAGTCTTGATTATTTGAAATTTGGCTTCATTCCATCATTGCCGGACAAACAATCGCCTATGTGCCTTTTATGCAACAAAGTTTTGGGCAATGACGCTATGAAACCATGTAAACTGCAAGATCATCTGAGAAGATGCCACCCTGATAAAACAGAGAAAGATTTGAAATACTTTCAAACACTCAAAGATAAATTTCGGAAGAGACCTACACTGGACAGAATGTTCGCTTCGACGTCACAAAGAAATAAATGATGGTCGTTTGCGGGCGTCTTACAATATCTCGTTACTTATAGCAAAATCCGGAAAACCGCATACTATCGGAGAGAAGTTAATTTTGCCAGCCGTTGAAGAGGCTTTAAAAACTGTTGAAAGACGTATTGATGAAATGAGTTCTGATATTGAAAGATTCTTATGTAATTATTTTTGCAAATGACCCATTTCTCTACACAACTGGACGAGTCAACTTTACCTGATAATGCAGCATTATTATTGGCATATGTTTGTTTTATTATGAATCAAGAAATCTAGGAAGAACTGCTCTTCGCAAGAACTTTGATAACCGACACTAAAGGTGAATCAATATTTCATGTTTTGAAGGATTACTTCATTGGAAAAGCAATTCCTTTATCAAATATAATATCAGTAGCTACAGATGGAGTACCTGCCATGGTTGGACGTTAGCGTGGTTTATAAGCTATTTAAAACAAAATGTGTCAGGGGTGTTAGCAATACAGTGCGTCATCCATCGACAACATTTAGTTGCTAAAAATTTGAGTGTTAGATTCCATGAATCACTTCATTTAGTCATTGATGCAGTAAACCGAATCCGAAGCAACGCGTTGAATACGCGGTTATTTGCGCAGTTGTGTGAAGAAAATGACGAACATTTTCATCAATTACTCCTTCACACTGAAGTACGCTGGCTGTCGAAAGGCTTATGTTTGACAAAATTTTTTGCACTTTCTGAGAATATGTTAGAATTTCTGGATGCTAAAGATAAAATTTTAAAAGAAAATTTAATGAAGAGGAAAACAGACATCGCCTATTTAACAGATTTGTTTACAAAATTTAATATGGTCAATTTGCAATTACAAGGCGACAGTTTAAATTTGATTAAAACAAAGTCCATCTTATCAGCGTTTCTTGCCAGAGTTAAACTAATGAAGCAAAATATTGGACGGGGCGAATTTTCTCAGTTCCCCAATTTGTCACAGACAAGCTGCCAGGAAGACGACGTTTCAACTTACGTTCAACATTTAAATGCCCTCTATTCAGATTTTGAATCTAGGTTCGAGGATATTTTGACTATGGTAATACCACCGTGGATAATTAATCCATATGGTGACATACAAGAAACGAATGTCATAATACAAGAGCAACTGACTGAACTAAGTACAAACGAAGAACTTGAGGTTCAGTTTAAAAACGGATATCAGCAATCCTGGCTGCAGAACAACATACCCGTTACTTATCTCGTATTATGGAATATAGCGAGGAAATTTTTAATTTCCTTTCCATCGTCATACTTAGTGGAAATGGGGTTCAGCGCTGTTACCAATCTCCTAACGAAAAAAAGAAACAGACTGGACATCATTAGCCGAGGAGATTTATGATTAATTATTACAACATTGACGCCAAATGTTGATAATGTATTATTAAAGCATCAGGTTCATCCTTCTCAATAAAATTATTGACTTATTGCTATTGTTATTTTATTTATAGTTTATTTTGTGTTTATTGGTGTCTGACCAATAAATGCCCGCATTAGGAATAAGTGACCGCATTGATTTTTTTTAAAGAACCCCCCTTTATGGAAAATATTTTTTTTTAAATTATTCCGAAAATTCAAGGATACACTGAAATTCGTTAATTTTTTGCCTATTCTTAGATAACTTAAACGTATAAGAAGCGGAATTTAATCAAACTAACAGTGAAATTATTGTAGAACATACGTTTATGTAATAATTAATAAACGAACTTATTGTACTATTTTAAGTAAAAAACTTTATTTTATTATTTTTCACTTTTTGTCATTTTATCCCTCTTATTTTTTTTTCAATGCCGGCACTTATTCCCAATGCGGGCCCTTATTGGTCAGACACCTGTTTATTTAATGTTACATATATTTTACATAACAGATACAAAATTTTATTTTGAGTAGTTTTAATTTAAATTCAATTAGTAAATGTATAAATTGACATGTGTTTTTATTTTAAGTTTTTAACACTAAACTTCACTATAGTTAGAAATTTACAGGAAATCAATATCAGGTAAGTAGGGGGTCTACTCAACACGGAAAAACATGGCAAGGGGTCTACGACACAAAAAAGTTTGGGGAACTCTGCACTAAACGAACGCCTAGACCATTAATTTTGCCCACTTCCCGAGATTTAAGCAACAACATTTCCAATAAAGTAAGAACAACCATTATATCATCTGCTATTTAACGTTTAAAATAGTTTTGGGTAGTTAAGGTTTTCAAAATGGGTAGAGGAAAGGTTATTAGTGAGAACATTCGGTTACTGATAATTCAATTTTTTAATTCTGGGAAATCAATCTCAGAAATTGCAACTTTGTTAAACTTATCGCGGTACAGTGTGAGAAATATTGTTAGAAGATATAACGTAACTGGTTCAGTTAATATTAAGCCACGATATGTGAAAAAAAGTAATATCACAAATGCCGACCGAAGAGCATTAAGAAGAATAATCGTGAAAAACAGGCGTTCCAATTATTTACAATTAAGTGCTCTGTGGAGTGACGCTGTTAGAAGGAGAATTTCGAGGTCTACAACTCATAGAGAGGCCCACAAACTGGGATTTAGCACTTGCAAGGTAAGTTTTCTTATAAAAAAGGTGAAGTAAAAACCCTAAAGTTGCACAACTCGTTTATAGGCCAAAGAAAAACCACTATTAACTCCAAAAAAAAATCGGTTTAGAGGGCTAAAGAAAATGGACAATAGACACCTGAACAATGGTGTATAATACAATGGAGTGATGAGGCCCGATTCTAAGTTTGTGTTGGTGACAGTCGCAGTAGAATTATTCGCAAAACAAATGAAGCATTCCATGTTGACTGTATGAAGGGACAAGTGAAATTTCCAGCATCCATGATGGTCTGGGGCAGTAGGTCACCAAAAGGAGTAGGAAATCTTCATTTTATTGATGGAACTGTGGGTACAAACAAATATTTGTCAATTTTAGAAGAATCGCTTTTACCAGGGATGGAAGAATGTTTGACATCCGGCCAAGATTTTGTTTTTCAGGAAGATGGTGCAGCGTGCCATACCACAAAAAAGGACACAAAATGGATGGGAGAAAATAATGTACCACTTTTAAAATGGGTTTCTAGCAGTCCAGATCTGTCACCTATTGAAACTTTGTGGCACGAGATGAAAAAGGTTGTACGACAACATCCTGCTCGTACAATCACCGAACTGAGACAAAAGCTTCAAGTAATATGGGATTGTTTTACACCAAATGTTTGCCAAAACTTGGTTAATACTATGCCCCAAAGAATAAAATATGAAGGTGATGTTACCCAATGGTAATATTTCAATTGTTGCTTTGTTAACTTCGCGCATTTATTCGCACATTGCTTATTTGTTCAGATGATCTATTAGTTATATGTCTAAGTGATTTCATATATTTATTTTTTACGACTAGAGTGTATCTAAAATGTTTTTGAGAAAATAAATTGTTTCAGAAGTAAATAGTTTCGTCATGTTTAGTTTATAAAGGCATATTTTGGTACAAATCTTGAAGTAGGCCAACTGAAGTGGGAAGCGGGCTCGTACGCTATTATGTTAATAGCATGTTAACAGAATAAGAATCAGAACACTAATACGTCGAAAAGTGAAGATAAGACGTAATTTGCTGATAACACAAAATTAATAACCAATGCTGGGAATGAATCGTGGAATAAGCTTTATTAAGAACGCATAACAAACAAACTACTACTACTGACAATCAAAACTAAAAAAATAATGGAAAATATAAATAAAGTAAAACTAAATCACAAGCAGAAGGGTAGAAGCAAATAGATAACTGAAGGGTTGATGAAATCTACAAACGAAAAGAAAAGAATCTATAAATTAATAGAAGAATCACCAACGCAGGATGACATAGATAATCGTTATCGCCACAAAAATAAATTTAACTTGAGAGAAAAAAACGAAACTAATATTTTCAGAAACTAAATGATAATTGACACGATTCAAAAAAACTACGGACCACTATAGATGATATTTCCAACAAAAAGCAACGATCCGGATATGAAATTACTCAACTGAAAGCAGAAACGAATGAAGTTACACATGAAAATTATCGAATATTTGATGGGTGTGAAATTTTTTTCACAAATGTCGGAGACGAATTAGAGGATAATATACACCTTAGGAAAAACCATTGTTATACATGGGAAATCATTTCTTGGCAACAGCGCATCGGCTCGTCTACTTTCATCGCTATTCGTACATATTTCCTACCGTTAACCGCAGACCTGTATCACGAATGAGAATAATAGGCAGATACGCTGTGTTGCCAATTTGAGTAGAGCTTCCCGAATTGTGGGGAATTTAGAGTTAAGTGTTGATTCATTCAAGCTTTTAATCAGAATGGCCTAGACGTTAGAACTTCATAAAAATAACATTGAAGCTGAATGCTGCTGGAGTATAGTGTTTCGAATATTTAAAGCGGAGCGGGACACTATACTCGTTCAATGGGTCATCAAGCCACAGTCTTTTCAACAAAGAAATTATTTTACGAAAATGCGTTATATTTTTAAGATTTTGTCGTCACCAAGTCTCTGTTTCTCAAAATGTACGTCTATTGTAGAATTTTCAGCAAACTAAGCAAGAAACATGATCTAGTATTTACTCAACATTACGGATTTCTCGAAATACATTAAAAAATGTGACCTAGATACCTCCTAACTGTCCCAAGCTCTTTAAATATAACACCTTAAACCAGGGTTACCAGGTGCTCAGTCACGTTGATTGTCATGTTGTACTGCGCAAGTCAGCAAACAATCTGGTGTAATAAACGTTAGGAATCATCAGGTATTGCCAGATTCCCGAATACCGGGCACCATAGTAACCGTTATAGTTGTCCTTCAAAGTTGTCAAATCGCCCCTATGGCGCAAATTCGCCACATCAGGCAACTGTGCTATAAACAAACCCTGTTTATCACTACTATTTGATAGTCATATGGTAGTTGTAGCCCTATCTAGCGGTCCATGATTTCTCTCAATACTGTTGTATCTCTACTGGCAACAAGAATAGCGATTACAAAATCATTTATACAACAATATACAAACATGAAAAGTATGATTTGAACCATGAAACATTAATTGCAATTTTAATAGTTTGAACTTTTTGGAATACTCTTATGTGGAATCCGCAGCTATTTTTCCCGAAATTTGGGTAGACTTAGATTTCTTAGAAATATGACATATTGGTATCGGCAACTCTGCGAATGGGAGAGACAAATCGCATTTGTTGAGCGCATCCGTCTAAGCGGTAGGCGCCAGCGCCCGTTCTGCCATCTCTCTCTTTTATCACTCTTCTACTTTACCCCATTGTCCGTCACACTCCGACGCTGCCAGATAGGACCCTACAATCGAGTGTCTTTCACGCACCTACATACTTTTGTATATTTCCATCTCTCTTCCTCATCATAATGTATAATAATGGTTTTTCCCAAGGTGTATTAGGGCGATTATATTAACTTTAGTTTACAAGAAAATAGATTAGTAAACTCATTTGTACTGACCGAAGTCGATGCTCAATAAGTTATTGTGTTCCTGAAACGTAAGAAAAGCTCAGGATCTGATGAAGTAAGAGGTGGACATCTGAAGATGATGGCCATGGAACACTTTGCTCCGCCTATCTGGCTACAAAAACAGGCGATAATATGGATGTTCTAGTTATGGGCTAATATCGACTTTGGCTATGTGTTTGAAAATTACTCTATTGTAAGATAATTCCTTGATGAATTCAAAATTCAAGTCCAAATCTAGTGAATCAAGTCACCCAAAACCCTGATCAAAGAATTCCATCTACTAATGTACGAGTATTTGTCGATCTAAAAAAATCGTTAGTTACAATTCATCACAGTTCACAGTTAAAGGTTTTAGAAAAATTAGGTTTTCGTGGGAAAAAAAATTCTTTATGTCAAGGTTATTCATCTAAGTGGTGAAACTATCAAAATCATACAGTAAGGAAATGTTTGTCAAATGTGTTAGGAGCTCTTTTATTTAATATCTATTTGAGTGATATATCCAAAACTAAAGTAAAATACTCAGTTATGCTGAGGATACGGCAATACGATGTAAAGTGCAAGACTGGTATTATATAAAAAGGATAATTGAAAATGACTTTTTTAAGATCATATAACACTAAAAAATTAACCGTGAACTTTGGAAAAGCTAACTTTCTACCCTTTATATCATACGCAAGACATCTACCCGATTATTCAAATATCTTTTATATTTTATATACAGGGTGTTTCAGTTTATTGTTGCATAACCTTAAGATTCGATAGAACTTTTAAAATTAATGCATAAAGTCATACAAACATGGGTCGAAAAATGCGTGGCTTCCAAAATAAATTTACTTTCTAAAATAGTTTTTTTTAAATATTCCGAACAATATTTGATGCATAACAGTGAAAATTGGTATACAAGGGTTTTTTGGTACGAC